TCGGTTGATGCAGTGAACAGAACGTTCACCAAAGTGAATCGGTTTTTATCAACGGATGTTTGAGAGTTTGGTCGGGTGCCAACATGGACCTGTACATTGAGCCATCACATATCACCGATCGGTATCGGCAGATAGTAGAGTTGCGTTTCCACGGGACTAATCAGGAAAGTGACGCTACAGGAACGCCAAAATAGGTGCTCCGGGGAATCTTTCCCGCAATGGTCTCATTAGCTTCGCTATCCAACGCCCTTTATGGAGCACACCATCCCTTTGTATTTTGTATTATATATCACACTTGAATTAGGCTGTTGACATTTAATCAGCCTTAAGCTCATTTGTATTTTCCTAATTGTATCGACAAGATCAATGGTTTTCTGGGGGTACAACCTTTATATGCATCACCATTTGTATGTGAAAGGCTGTAGGAAAGCTTAGAACTAAGATGTTACAAATTACCATCCTAAGATATTTGAATACACGTCATGCGTACAATGTTGATATCAGCATATAGATATGGTGCATGCATGGAGTGCAGTTCCTTGACGCTTGATATAGAAAGCACATAGGAGTACGTGATTGTACATAGATGTTATTTACATGATTTCTCTATATATAATAATGTAAGCATGATCTATGAAAAATGATTAATATTGACTGTCAGCCTCAAAACCGTTCTGCTCACTGCTTTTTCTAGCATCCCCTCACTGCTTTTTCTATCATGCTCACTGCCTTTTCTAGCATATGCATTAACCGATCCCTTATTCAGATTGGAATAAAGTCTTTACTAACATGTCTGTTGAAGAGGCAAACAGGGAAATAATATTACACTAAACATAAACATATATCTTACAGAGAAAGCACCCAATAAAGCATAAGGTATTTCTTTAACTTTGAAAATTGATAAACTCTGCTAGTTGTCAGCACTGTTTTTTGTATCATATAAGTAAATTGCACAAAAGAAGGGGGAAATGCACCGTAGATTGTATAATTTTTTTTCTCATAGTTCACATGATGTACATAAGCATGCATTTGCTTCAGACTATGTTATCTGAAGGCAATAGGTTATAAATTAGGAAAAGGAAACCTTAGAATTGTGTTACAATCAACTGTTGAAAGTAGGCCATGGTTGTAAGATGAGAGTTCACCTGCAGTTGCATAATGTGAGAAGATGTGTCAGCATTTAATTCTGAATACCCTCGTGGTCATGGAGAAGTGCAAGTATAGCTATTTATTGTATTGAGTCCAAAAGTAGATACTAAGGAAAAAGATAATCCACCCAGGGAGATAACCACTCAGAGCAACATTCAAATGAAAGAATTATGAAAAATATCAGCTTGTTTTCATTCATATTCAAGTATTTCCAGAGGTATTCAATTAAAGAAAACTTATAGCCATGTTATTGATCCTTCTGTCACCTCGGCAAGTAAAAATTGCAAGTTATGATTCATGTGTTGTAAAAGATGAGTTTAACTGTAGCGAAGCCCCATGCTCCTTTATCATGCCAATCATTCTTTAGGGTTGGTTAAATTCTCACCTTTACAAACAAGGCCGAAAGGACTAGCAACCATGAAAGCTCCATCATCTCGCACTTGCTTATCGTCAGTTCGTCACCCCATACTAGCTCTCTGTATTAAATATGTGAAGCTAGTCTACCTATCAATAATTTCTTATTTACTGATTCTTTTAGACTATCACATATTTGATTACTCTCCCATGCTAGTTGTAATCACTGCTACCTGAACTGATTAGAAAAGCAAATAGGTAAGCAGCAGCAGGATCAGTTTGTTGACATTCCCAGATTAACCATTCCTGACAGACGCACCATGCATCATCACATTGACTATCAAAGAGGTTTGGCTAGAAACAGTAATGCAAACAAGATCACAGGCACAGTCCAGACAGGCATTTATTTATGGCATACACATGGAGAATTGGAGACAAGGATGTGCTGTTTACCTCATGGGCATTTCGTCGAATACCACATGGGCCCTATCGTGTTATATCCAGTCTGTAGTCCAAGATGGTGGTGGGTGCTGCTAGAGAACCTTAACGCCGATGTAGGTGGCCAGGTACTCCCTCGTCGAAGCTCCGTCGCACACCACACACAGGGGGCACGTCCTCTACGCCTCTACCTTGGCTCCTTGGACGCGCCGTGGACACCACCGCGGCATATAGCTGCGGCATTGAGAAGCGTCGTCCCCGAGCCAGGTGAGGTGGCAACGCCTCCGCGAGGGCCCAGATTCGCCCCTGCCGATGGCCACGCGCACCTAGTCCACGCCTTCTCCGTGTCTTCGTGGACTCTCTGTTGTGCGCGCTTGGGCGGCGGCGGAGCTCTGCCTGCGACGAGCCATGCCCGGGCGGCAAAGCGCTGGGGACAATGAGGGAAGAGGCGAAAGAGGAAGGTAAAGCGGCGGACGAAATACACGGCGGCGGTGGCACCGTCTGCGAGGAGGTGGTGGCTCTACGGCGGACGGTTCGTGTGCGGAGCTAGGACGGGAATCAGCGTTTCGTCGAGCCGGGCCTTGGGGAAGAAGGCTCTAGAAAAGTGCAAGCTCATTTGCCTGCAGTTGCACGGACGGTCCGATCATGATCTGACGGCCGAGAAATTGGAGGCGACGTGGCCCAATCCCTGGCCGGAGCTTGGTCCTGATTTCGTCATATAGAGATCACGAATGAATGGATCAAAACGATGTCACATCGTCGTACGAGAAGAGTCACGAAGATGCCCGAATCTAGTACTAGGCTTAGCATTAGTATTCTCCAAGCACGGTTTTAAAAGCGTTGAGAATAGCGATTAGTCTCGGCTAATCATCTGCCGTCTGTGATGGAGGTTGGGATGGAGACTGGTCCGTGGATCCAGCTCCAACAGCAAGAGGGAGGGAGAGGCGGTGGTCACTGGCCTGGTCAGCCGGTCACACGGCAGCCACAACTGCCGCGAATATTCCAGCGATATCAGCGCCAAACATCTTCGCCCTCTCTCCCGCTCGCCCCGGATGGCCGGGTCCCACCGGAGGCCGCCGCTGCCGTCCCCGCGCTTCCGCCGGAATATTCCGCTGTTCTGCCCGCACAGCCACAGCTGGACCCGTGCGTTCCGTTTGGTTCCCACGCAAAGATTCGAAACTGACGTGGTCTGCCTGCGATTTCCCTCCTTCCGCCGGTTCGCTGTTTGGTTTTTGGCCGACAAGTCCGGCTGATGCTGGTTTACCGTGAGAAAAAATATTGTTAGCTAGCTGATAAGCTCTGATTGAAACCAACAAGCGAACAGACTGTTTGTCTTGTACCGTCTGAATGCTGGTACTACTACGGCCCTGCTTGTTTTCACGGGAACAGGGCCCGAGACTAAATTTTGTTTCTTTTAATCCCAAGTCTCTGGGGTAAGGCTTATTAGAATTTATGGGGGTAAATTGACATCCCGTGCCTCTTTCTGGTCCCCACCCCTCCCAGTCCCCAACTCTGTATAAGGGTATTTTAGTCTTTGTTTAGCAGCTTTAATTATCCTTTAGTCTCCTCTAATTTATTTAAACAAACACCATTAGTGACTACTCCCTCCGTACCGTTTTACCAGGCGTGAGTAGGTTATTTCCAGATACCAAGATGGCACCAGCGGAGAAATCCGTCACTCATTTATTTTTCGCGTATAACTCAGCTGGTGTTCTCTTCGTTGATAGGCCCTCAAGTCCCCACGCTTGCATGCAACGCTTTGGTGCTAGGACCTCATGCATGCGTGCGACGCGCTTCAGCTGCTTTGAGTAGTTAATTGTCTCATCAATACTCCAAATCGCCTCCTCAGAGCAAGGTTTCCGCTGCTGACCATAGGCCCCGTTTGTTTTGCTAAAAAAATTAAGCTGAAACACTGTTCGATCAGATTTGTTTGAGAAAAAAACATTGTTTCAGCTAAAAACAAGCTAAAAAGTACGGATTATAAGACAAGCGAACAGGGCATATGAATCCTTACAGCCTACTTCTCAGCCCAACCATATAATAGTTATATCTTCACTACTAATACATGGCCCATTTATCTTTTTCTCAGAGTTTCTTGTTATTGTGTCCAAACCGACTGTAAGCTTACAGTCCGCTTCTCCTCTCTCTTCCTTCCATCTCTCCTTCACATTAGAATTCAGTCTGTTTGCAGCCCTTATTATACTTGCTCTAATATGGCCAAAATAAAAAAACAAGCTGGCACCTAATAAGACGAGATGGAGGGAGTACTATTTAGTTTCTGTTTTACGTTTTGCCGTTCACGCTGACCCCTAGCATCTGAAGAAACACCAGGGATCAGACGGTATTTTCTGGTGAAAAATCGACGCGTCCCAGTCCCAGCCGTGTGCTTCTTGTTGCCAATTGTGACGGGATGGAGTACCTTGCCCACCGCCGTCTTGGCGCCTGGGCCTGAAGGAGCGGCAGCCAAGTGGCGCCCCCGGGTTGGAGGCGTGGCCGAGCGAGATGCCCGTCCGCTTTGTTCTATTCCGCGCGCCGTTGCGTTGCATTTGTCGTCCTAGATTCCTCACACACATGACGCCCTCCTACTTCTCCGCCATGCCCTGCGCTCCTCTCGCTCTCCTCTTGTCCTCACATACACCTGTGCAGCTGTGCTCACGACTCTCGGCGTTACATCCGTTGGAATTGTTTCAAATTCACTCCAGGATATAAGCCGAGCTTCTGACGGAGTGGAGTAGAGGCCCGTCGCTGGAGGCTTAGGCGTGGAGACTTGATTCTCTTGTAAGCCGCCATAGGCGTGTAACCCAAAACTCTTAAGATAGTGAGATTGTTGCTGGTTGGTGTCTGTGATTTTTCTCCTTCATATTAGAGAGGTTTTCCACGTTAAATCGTGTGTCTCTTGTGTGTGGCTTAGATTCTTTACTTCGTATTCGTTCGTAACAACACCGGCCGGCCTCGTCTCCTCCCCCTAGGAGGCATATTCTCTTGAGCAAGAGCCTCGTCGTCTTCGTCTCCATTCCTGCTGCTGAGCGTCTTTGGCCAACGGAGAGGGAGCGGCGATCATGATGCAGGGGAGCTACGGCTGCGGCGGGGCGGCGTCACGGGACCCCAAGCCACGGCTGCGGTGGACGCCGGAACTCCACCAGCGCTTCGTCGACGCCGTCACCAAGCTCGGCGGCCCGGACAGTGAGTCATCGCTCTAGTTTTCCTTCCTCTATCCGTTCCCCGTGTAGTGCTCTGTGCTCGTGTCTTCATGACGCCGTCCGACGCCTAGGCGATTGCTTGATGAGCCGGAACCCTCTGCAGTTTGCTAGTATGGTGCTTGGAACAGAGCATATCGGTCTGCATTTTTTTTTTCAGTCCGAATTCTGCGCTGCCTGGCTTTGAGCTACTGCAAGGCTGCCGTTGGCCGTTGGGCAACTCTAGAGCATAGTCAGAGGACAGCTGTAGTGTTGAAACAGCCTAAACTGGCACAGGTACAATTCCACTGACATGACCAAAAGGCAGTTGGAATTGAAAAAAAACGGTGCCACAAATTGCCTTTGAAAAAAGGCCACGTCGCGCGTCAAGTTCAATTCCTCTGTCTGAAGTCCCAACAGCCACTCTCTAGCTTTCCAAGCTCATATTCATCTGAATTTTGCTTACGACATCACATACCTATTACTGTGGAGTAACCATTTCTTGTGCTTCCTGGAACAGAAGCAGCACCCAAGTCAGTGCTCAGATTGATGGGCATAAAAGGCCTCACTCTTTACCATCTAAAAAGCCACCTCCAGGTCTGACCTCTCTTTCTTCACTGCCTCAGCATTACTAGTACACACCTACGTATTCTCCTTTTCTCTTGCTCCATTGTACTGAAACATTGAGGCTTTTCTGATGTCCGCAGAAGTATAGACTGGGAATACAGGGCAAGAAAAGCACAGGCTTGGAACTTGCCAGTGGCGGTATTGAGCCTCGCACTTCCTTTCTTTCTGTCATCAGGATTTGCCGCGCAAGGGTTCCTTTCTTATGATCTTATCTTGCTTCCGCTCTTTCGTCATCAGGACTTTTCTCACAAGGCCTCAGTTCAACCACAGCGCATCCTCCAAGTGTTCCTGCTGAAGGAAAGAACACGAGGTAACTAGAAATTACCTTTAACTGACAAATTTTTGCAAGTGATATACCCGCCTTTTGTGCACAACATAAGGGCAATATTTATTACAACTAATATAGCGCATTGAGTCAAGTAGACAACTGAAGATGCTAGAAATGTTACCTTAAAAAAAGATCATACCGTTACAAGCAAGTATATAGGGATTTCCTCTCTGAACCTTAAGCCGTAACTCAAATATTTCTCGATCTCAATTCCTATCCACACAAGTCATAATAATAACTGAGACATGAGTTGTTAGCTTCTTAATTGGTTTATTATTAAACCATAATTTGACTGCAAATATGGGACTGTAGAAGTGTAACCAAAAGCAGGATAATCAAAATCCAGAACCAGGATTCTGTCTATCAAGTAGATAAAACAGTACAAATGCCACCCAAGTGCTACAGAATACGGCTTGCCTAAAATTCTCCTAAACATGTTTAAGCCTTACCTGTTACAAACAAGTATTACTTGCACTAAATGCAAACAATTTCTTTTCTATTCTATTTCCAAAATTTGTATGAAAACTTTCTCATATAGAGGTCCAGGGAATGTGAATGCTACAGATTGCCTGTTAATTGACTACAGTGGGCCCTTTTTATTTGGTTAAACTTTTCTGCATTAATTGAACTAACCATTTGTATCACATTTCTTATGTGAATCAGAGAAATAGCACTTAGCGATGCACTAAGGTATCAAATTCGAGTCCAAAGGAAACTACAAGAACAAATTGAGGTAAGATAGATTTACATCACTGCCACGAGATTTGCACTCTTCCATAAACACTACAAGTGCTTATGTCTGTAACCAGGTGCAAAAGAAGCTGCAGATGCGAATTGAGGCCCAAGGGAAGTACTTAAAGACAATACTAGAGAAAGCTCAGACAAATATTTCCTTGGACAATGCAACTCAAGTATGCAAAGAAAATAGGGAGCAATTGGTGAAAGCTTTGTCGGATGACAAAGATAAAGATAATCTAGGCTTTCATCTGTACCATGTAGGAAGTCAGGAGGCTAAGGAAGTCAAGTGCACACCAAAAACTGAAGACTCGCTCCTACTAGACTTAAATATTAAAGGAGGATATGACTCTCTTCTAGAGGAACGCAAGCATGTGAACTAGAATTGAAAATCAACCAGCAGATAGTATAAATTTGTTCACAAAGCTGTCAGTTTTGGGAAGTTCACTCTTTGCAATTAGATTATTTTTTTTCCTGTGGGTGTTGAGCATGCTTGTCCAATGCCCACAGCTCACAAGTTTCGTTTACTCTCTGCTAATGTTATATTTGCTGAAAGAAGCTTTTGCATAAATAAATGTGAGCATTGTTTCTTCTTGAATTTTACACATATGTAGAATGTGGATACGAGAATGAGAGAGCTGCATCAGTCTAGACTCAAGGTATATGCATATCTAGACATTTAGTAACTTGATGTGCATCAAATATGTTCAGTTTCCCCCCTGTTTCCCTGACCAAAGAAGATACATACACCAAAGCTAAAAAGTTGTATGAGTGCCAAGAGCAGGACAACTGAAGCAATGAAGTGTTGAGTTCGAATTATCTGCATACAGGTCCGTGGTGTTAACATGCCAGCCATATGTACTAAAACTTCTGTCATTAGTTCTGATTGTTATTGAAGCGTTTTTCCATAGTTCACATCATCGAGCTATTAACTTAGTTGTAATGTATTAATGCAGAGTTGCCCACCTGACAAAACTTTTTTGGATAATAGCATTAATCAAGTCAAGATGTCTCATTTGTTATGACATAAGATTGTCCAAATATTTCTCTTGTAGCTTGGTCAAACTGTGTTCGGGATTGGCAACACTCAGAACCCCTCAAAATTTTTCCTCAAAAACAAAAATCCTTAAAGTTCCTATACTCCTAAGCACTAGGAATATTGAGATTCCACTCCTTTAATGTGATAACCCACAAATCAAAAGGCCAAAACTAGGTTATCTTAATTATTAACCAAGTTAAAAGGATATTATCCTTGGAAAACTGAATTAGTACAATATCAATCACCTCAAACTAATGTGTAGAAAACTCACACCCATGGAAAAGAGCATGGAAACAGAAGATTGCAACAAAACAAAACTGTGGATGTGCAGGAGAGGCAACCCTTTACTTGCCCCACTTTGAGAGGATCAAGATACCAACAACTGTGAAGCATACTGAGGCCACAGAGCCAACCACAAGTGCAAAGGCGTACATTTGGCTTGGAAGGTTAAGTTTCTCCTGAATGCTTTTCAAGCCTTTGTTGATCACCGGGGCCAAAGTAGCTGCACCGGCGACACGGAATAGCCTTGTGACATTGTTACCGGTCCACATTAGGATAACAATCTGACAAAAGGAAAGCAGATGAAGATCAATCTTAGGATACTAACACTTTTGCATTGGGCAAACATGCAGACAGTAACATGGCTAATGACAACAACAGCTCAAACTCAGCACTAGTTGGCACCCTGGGATGAGAGAACGTCAGATCACACTGAAATAACTAGTCGACAGAAAGAAAATGGGCGTCTTTTGTCAGTATGAGACCATTTTTGCCAAGTTATCTGTTAGCAAAGCACCTCAGAATTGTATCCTACAACTACAGTCTACACTCTATAGATATCAAGGATACAGGATTCTGGTTAGTTGTGTTTGCCAACCATGAACATCTCCATCGAGAGCTTCATTGGCACTTCTCAGGTCCTTGGTTCAACTTCCCGTATGAGCGAATTTTAGGCTGTGGTTAGAAAAATCCCCTTGTCTGTCCCAGGCCAAAGCACAGGTCAAAAGCCAGCCCCCACTCACAGGTTATCGTTCCCTGTGTATGGATGGAGCAGGGGGTTTGAGAAGACCTTCTTAAGCACAGTACCCGGGGGCGCTCTTGACCCCAGGCAGACGAGTTTTTTCCCATCTAATTTGGCACTAGTAATCAAGATCAAAAAGTGGATCACAGGCTAGCAGCACCTATGATACCTGAGCAAACAACACAGCAAAGCCATAGCTCATAGAGAACATACACCGAGCAGAGCCTTGAGATTGGCCGCAGGGTTCTTGCCGGTGCTTTTCCCATAGCCGAGGAATGCGAGAACGAAGAAGGTCGTGTAGGTGACGGCGTCGAACAGCCCGTAAGCCAGCACGGCGGCGAGCCCGAGCTTGGCCACCCTGGCCCTCGCCTCCGCGCTCTCCACCTGCGCACATTCACTCACAGTCACACAGAAACCCCAACAAACTTCCCTTTGATTCAACCACAGTCATCACGAACTCACCATCCACTTGGTCCAGAACCCACCCTTCGACCCGGTCTCGCCCTGAAAATCAAGCGGAGAATTAGCCCAGTGAACTCCGCTCGGCACTTCAGGTGCTGGTGCTGGTGGTTAGCCACCTGCGGGTCGGGGCGTGGGCTCTCGGCGGCGGACGCGCGGGGAGTTTTGCACGCGAATCTGCCCTCCGCGCCGAGGAGTGGGGACCCACTGTGGGGTTGGTGGTGAGAAGCGGCGGCGTGGAAGCTTTGCAGGTTTGGGTTGCGCGATGACGCGGGCTTGCAGGATGCAGGCCACAGATGGTACTATGGTAGACATGGCGGGGCGCGGTGGCAGACGGGGGAGAACGAGGGGAGCACGGCAGATTGGGCGAAGGGTCCGCGGATCCCTCGTCCCTCGATAATCTGCCATTTGGGACAACGAGAGAGGTTGGCGTGGCAATCAAGCGCCGCCCAAGTACAAGCAACGACAAATGAAATTAAGCACAATTAATCATCTGCAAATAAGATACAAGCTATGCAGAAATTGTACTTTCCAGATCAGAGAGCCCAATTCAGCTGACATGAAGAACCAAGGAACTTCAGGAAGTGATAAACGCCAGAAAAGCACCTGTCACACTTAGAGATATGTACATAGATATGTACAGTAAGCTTGCTCTGATAAAGACGACGGTGAGGCGTACACAAAATAGGTTTGACTCTCAAACAACTGGTTGGAAAATATCCTAATCGCGGTAGTAGTACTCATAACTCATAAGCATTCTTTCTTTCGATTAAAGACAAAACACTCATTTGCTTATTAGCGATGCAAAATTCAGCGGAGCACAAACAGCCTCAGTGGTATCCGATCGGCGCAGGGGACTGCTTCAGCTGCATGCCCTGGCAATGGATGTCCTGCACGGCACAAGCAAATACCAACTCAGACTTCAGAACCAATCCCATAAACAACATATACACGTCTCCGACGAAATGGGATCAAGCAAAAGAGGTGCTGGTATTGGAATTTGGAAGTGTTCGTACCGATGCAAAGTGGTTGACGTCGCGGTGGTGAGCCTCGTCAGCGCGCACGACGGTGACAACGTCCTTGAGCGTGGCGTTAGCGGGGAGGCGCCAGTAGTCGATGGCGATGGCCGGGGCGGGGACGTTCTCGATCTTGCCGGCCTCCAGGTCCTTGAGGTACTCGGTGTACGAGTGGATGGCCTCCTCCTCCAGGTAGCCGACGACGCGGTGCGCGAACTTAGGGGACAGGAGGTAACTGAGGAAGTAGGCGTTGAAGAAGACGCCCTGGACGGTGATGACGAGCGCGCGCTCGTACCACCTCGGCTTCGCCACCTCCATGAAGGTCATGAGGTGCATGCGCTCGTTCTCGGCCTCCTCCAGCAGCGCGCGGATCCAGCCGCCGCTCTGCTCGAAGCGGCGGAGTGAGCGCAGGTGGAGCAGCATGCCGCCCACCATCCCAGGCACCGCTGCCACGGTCTCCAGCATCATCGCCCGGCAGCCATACCGCCTCTGCAGACAATTCGCCCAATTCACAGGGTCAGCTTACAACAGTACAGGAATAATCGACCTTTCACAACCTTTGAAAATAAGCAGATCATTTGCACATGCATCTACGAACAGAACTTCTTCTAAAAGCCAGATTAAAAAGATGAATTGCTAATACAAACAAATATTATCCACCTTCGTTCACTAGTAGAGAAACTACTTTTACTCCCGGTTCGCAACCCCTTTTAGTCCCGGTTTTGGAACCGAAGCACGCAATCGGGACTAAAGGGCCTCCTTTAGTCCGGTTTTGCCCGGGACTAAAAAGGTGGTGGACCTTTAGTCCCGGTTAGTAATACTGGAACGGGGTTAACCTTTTAGTCCCGGTTGATAATACCAACCGGGACTAAAGGTTTTTTTTCTTTTTTTTCTATTTCTATTTTCACGCTGCTACCAGGTTTTTTTGTTTCTATTTCTATTTTCCTTTTTTTCCATTTTCACGCTGCTACCGAACTAAAGGTTTTCTTTTTTTTTTGTTTCTATTTCTATTTTTTTTTTTTTCTTTTTTAATTGATGATTCGTTTTGGTTTTTGAATACGCATTCTCATTTGTTAGAATATACATACGTTTATAATGTTCAACATTTTGTATAAACTATAGTACGAAGGACCTTTAGTCAAGGATGTGGTACAATCCCATAGAGCGATCCTGTTCAAGTTAAATCTTTGCGCATGGTTCGAGAGCCGAGCTTTTAAGTTAGCTTTCACTTTTTACGAACAAGCGAGGTGGTGCTAATAGGTGGACCGCCAGCAATTCCGGTATATTGCATCTTGGCCAGCCCATCAAGCTCCTATAAACACGGGACTAAAGACCTTTAGTCATTGTCGTATACCCAAGGGACTAAAAGTATATCTTTAACTGTAATAAAGGACTAATTGACAGCGAGCAGCAAGCTAGCAAAGAGACACGTCTTGACATGTCCCGACGGTGAACAGCTACGTACTAGTCTCGGACATGTCAAGATCTTGACGGTGAACAAAATGTACTAGCTAGCTAGTTTCCACGTACTAGCCGGGATCAACTAGCTATCAAGACGACTATGTAGAGCTACTCTCGTACTAGTCCCGGTTGAACAAAACGTCGCCCCGTATTCGGTTGAGATCTTTAGTCCCGTTGGAGACAACCGGGACTAAAGGTTCATTCTAATCTCGGACGGAGCCACGGGAGTAGACTTTTTACTCCCGGTTGGAGAGGAATGAGTAAAGTTAATATTTAGTCGGTTAGTAGCTCCAACCGGGACTAAAGGTCCCCTGCAATAAAAGGCTGCCACAGTAGCCGTTGGGCAGGACCTTTAGTCCCGGTTAGAGCTATCAACCGGTACTAAAGGTTTCTCTAGTCCCGGGCACGAAAAATACCGGGACTAAAGCCAAATTTTGAAGTGGATCAAAAGTCGTTTCTCTACTAGTGGTTGATAGAATATAAAATCGATTCCCCGAAGTGATCGAGGTGAATATAAACTACTCGATTTCATCCACGTTGCAAATTGCAAATACAAACGCGCTGCGACTTCCCAGAAAGCAGGAGCACAAAAAAAAAAACAGGAGTTATACTTAACCCCCATGCCACGCCATGTACTAGTGAAGTCAGTATCTATAGTGGTTCAACCAATTAGAAACGCCGAACTGATCATCCGCGCGATTGAACAGAGAGAGCAATGGATTGTGCGTGCACGAACCTGGAAGAAGATGTCCGTGGGGAAGCGAAGCGACTTGACGGTCGAGTAGGCGATCTTATCCATCAGCGTCTTGGGCTCATGGTGCCTGGTGAGGTCAATGGACGTGTCAGCCGTGTACGTCTCCCATGGCTGCAACCAAAAACAACAGATTAATCACGCACAATCAGCGCAAACCGATCCACCGCCGGGACGAACTGCAAAGAGCAGATAAACTGAACAATGATCAAAGCGAAGCGGAAGGCGCAGGGCGCGTACCCTAAAGCAAGTCCACTTCCACTCGTTGCCGTCGTCCCGCACCAGCTTGTTGTTTTGCTCGATCCCCCAGTAGCTGTTGATCACCACCGCCTTCTTGTCCCCTCCCTCCTTGGAGGCCTTGGCTGCCTCGTCCTTCGCCTCCGAAGCGGCGGCGGCGGAGGACGTGGACATCAGGCGTACCATGACTGCCTGGACACCTTTGTTGCCGCCGGCGAGCAATGGCCTCGAGGCCGCCGAGACCGCCGCTGCGGTGAAGAGACGGGAGCCGGCGCGGCGGAGGAGGACGGATCCGGCCCGGGAGCCCATCATTGTTTGTGATCGCCGCGTGGGAGAAGTTGCGAATTGCGATCGCCGCCGCCTGGGATGGGGGGAAGTGAATAGTTGGTGGGCCACCTGTTTTGACGTGGGTTGCAGTTTGGAAATGAGGCGGATGTTGTGGGGAGGACTTTTATATAGGACTGGTGGGTCCGCCCCGTCAGTGATGGGGAAGGTGCCTTGCTTCCCCGGGCTTCCAGAAACAGGTCCTTTCTTCTTCTCCAAGTCGAATGGTTTTAATTAGCCCGTGATTTTTTTCTTATGTGTTGGAAACAGCCTGTGTCATTTAGGTTCACGTGTGTGCACGCTAAAACCTGTATCTGCTTTGTGATGCGAAATTGGTACACGCGTCAGATCTCCCTATACAATACATGCAAAGCTTGTAAGATTTTTTTTCTTTTATTTTCCTGAGTGATGATGCTAAAAATACTAGATGCTTGTAAATGAAACTGCTTAATATGTTTTAATGGGATTATTTTGTAATGTTTCGGTTGAAATATTCCGTTCACACCATTGGATCGTCATATCCATGGTACGAACTAGTACTTACCCTGGAGTACATATACAAATAAGAAGAGAAAGCAAAGCAAAACGGTACTACATGATGGTTTCCGTTCTGTTGTTTGTTTTAATGGGATTATTTTGTAATGTTTCAGTTGAAATATTCCGTTCACACCATTGGATCGTCATATCCATGGTACGAACTAGTACTTACCCTGGAGTACATATACAAATAAGAAGAGAAAGCAAAGCAAAACGGTACTACATGATGGTTTCCGTTCTGTTGTTCGTTTTGTCTTGCGGACCAAGAAAGACTCTAGCGGTCCAGCTTCCAGCGACCCCAGACCAAAACCAGGTTGTCAGTCAAATGTGGCAACTACTATATTTAGGATGTTTTTCCTTTTCTATACAGCGAGTTTTTGCATTTAGAGTCTGATTGGTTGGCTACCAAAATTTTCCATGCTCAAAATTTGGCAAGAAAAGGTTGTCAAAACTTGAGCAAAAATATTTGTCATGTATTTAGCATGTCAATTGTGAGGCATTAGCAAATTTTGGTACCAAACCAAATTGCTGCTAAAATTTTTGCTTGCCTAAGTTTTGGCAACTAAATTTTGGCTCTCAACCGATCAGGCTCGAAGATCGTAATTCAACAGTATCTAATGTAACTACCAGGATAAATGAAATATGTATATATACTGGAATTCGGCCGGAAACTTCCTAGGCCTTTGCTTAATTAATCTTTGCTGGCATTGATTGTATTTGACACGCAACGTAACAATATTGGCTCAATAAACAATGGTAGGGCATGCTTGTTATTATAGCTCCATTCTCTAGCTTTTAGCTTCTTGATTTTTTGATGGAACGATATTCCAGTTAATTTCAGTGGAGGAGTAGGGTGGATAAATAAGTGAGAATTGTCACATGAATGATTTTAGTGGAGATTGAATATGAAGTAGTGAGAAGCAGATTTTTTTAGCTCTCAACTTTCAATGTAAATAGAGAAATGATCATTACCTACTCTCCGCTAAAATCTTGATGCAATTTTGATGTTTGACTGAAGAGAAATGATTCTCCTAGAGAATCTGCTCCGAGGAGCTCTACCTATGCTAAACGGCCCGGCTCCTTAGTTTGGGAACTAAAGCCGCTAGCAGTAGCAGGAGACGAGAGCAGCTGAGTATGCGTATGCTACTGTATGTAATCATCACGCAAATTTGTTTGCCGTTACGGTACCATTATATGTATAAAAAAGATTGTCTACTAATTTAAACACAAACACATGTCACTATTCTCGAAAAAAAGGATCGTCTACTGTGTGTACCGCACCAAAAAGGTCACATCCATATTCCAATTTCTGAACAGTTTACAACAGCCGCAAACTCCCTTCATATCGCCGTCCCTGTATCTGTCTCGTCCAGTTCGATATACTATAATTACGTTAATTAGTCACATCTCGATTATGAAAAACTACAAAAAAAATCTATAGAAGTATATCTAAATTACTCACGTATAATATTATAAAACATAATCAGAAGTAATATTAAATTTGCATATAATTATTCATCTATCATTATTATAGATAATCTACGTAATCTCTTAAATTTGTATCTATTGCCACTTTTCATTACAAATAAATAAATAAATAAAATATCACATCAAATCTATATTAAATTACCAGCATATTGTTCTTTTAAATAAATTTATTGGTTAATTGAAGCTTTGACATATCTATATTGTCAGTATAATTATAAAAACTATTTTTTTATAATAAAAATATCACTACACATACAATTCTTTGATAAGGAAATTAAAATATTTTGATTAGTGGGAGATGTTAGTGCAAATTAAAGATGGCTATATCTTTCTGGCATTTGAGACTTTTTTTTTGAAGAAAATAGTGATTATAATGGTTAAATATTAATATCCTCCTTAGATTAGCATGACTATCCTTTCCTAGATCTGACTTCAAAGAGCAAGGTAATGTAGTTTTAAATGATTGTTTATGACATTATAGTACTTCAGAGTGAACGCAGTTAGGATCTAAAATCCTTATAATGCACACGATATAAGTTTGAGAAATCACCTCATCGAGTCATCGTGGATGAAATAAATCATCCCAAGTTAAAGCCCATGAATTTTTGTTGGACGGTCTTGTTCTCCATGCTAATGCAGCGAGGTGGTGATGTATTTCCCAGCCCATTTTAATAGATACCTTCGATAATATTTAGTGATGATGCTAAAAATACTAGATGCTTGTAAATGAAACTGCTTAATATGTTTTAATGGGATTATTTTGTAATGTTTCCGTTGAAATATTCCGTTCACACCATTGGATCATCATATCCATGGTACGAACTAGTACTTACCCTGGAGTACATATACAAATAAGAAGAGAAAGCAAAGCAAAACGGTACTACATGATGGTTTCCGTTCTGTTGTTTGTTTTGTCTTGCGGACCAAGAAAGACTCTAGAGGTCCAGCTTCCAGCGACCCCAGTCAAATGTGGCCACTACTATATTTAGGATGTTTTTCTTTTTCTATACAGCGAGTTTTTGCATTTAGAGTTTGATTGGTTGGCTACTAAAATTTTTCATACTCAAGATTTGGCAAGAAAAGGTTGGCAAAACTTGAGCAAAAATATTTGTCATGTATTTAGCATGTCAATTGATAGGAATTAGCAAATTTTGACACCAAACCAAATGGCTGCTAAAATTTTTGCTTGCCTAAGTTTTGGCAACTAAATTTTGGCTCTCAACCAATTAGGCTCGAAGATCGTAATTCAACATATCTTATGTAACTACCAGGATAAATGAAATATGTATATATACTGGAATTCGGCCGGAAACTTCCGGGGCCTTTGCTTAAATAATATTTGCTGGCATTGATTGTATTTGACACGCAAGGTAACAATATTGGCTCAATAAACAATGGTAGGGCATGCTTGTTATTATAGCTCCATTCTCTAGCTGTCGGGTTCATAAACTCGGAGTTCCTCATGGACCTGCTTCCTAGCAAAATCTTGGCCCAGCAGACGACATTGCGAACGACACGCAACTCTTGGGCCGGCCCAAAAACCTAAACGATAGGCCAGAAGGACGATCTAATCTCCGACTGGAAGGCCTGGCCAAGGAAAGGACAAACGCTCGCTTCTGACTCCGGCCCGCCTCTCCGACCGAAAGGCCTGGCCAACGCCGCTTCTGACTCCGACCCGCCTCTCCGACCGGAAGGCCTGGCCAACGCCGCCTCTGACTCCGAACCACGTCTCTGACCGGGGGTGCACCGAACCTCTGCTTGCAGCTCATCTCCGACCGGCGCAGTCGGAGCCAACTAGGACTAACCGATCGGGGACGCCCGCTCGGTGAGGACCCAGGAAACAAGCGGAGCAAGTAAGGCAGGGCGCTCAAGTCAACCGCAATACCAAGGGTCGTACCCTGTACGCCTGTAGCACAGTACCGATAGGGCATGTCAGGAGGGTGCCCTGCCACCTTCCAGGCATGTCAGATCCCAAGCAGTGTTGTGGGCGCTGACGTTTGCCCTAAAGTGTTGTGGGCGCCCTCAACTCTCATACCAAGCGAACACAGTAAAACCCCCCACATGCCTCTAGGCATCAACAGTGTTGTGGGCGCTGACATCTACGATACCAAAAAAAGACGACAGAACCTCCCACATGCGTCTGACATTAACAGTATTGTGGGCGCCTACAATCATCTTGTACCCGACGGCGTGGGCAACAAGACTTAGTAGCATACGTAAACTCTCGCTCTCTCACTTATAAGGCCGTCCCCTTCATCTATAAAAGGGGATGCGCTCTCTCCCAATGAGGAGGACCGACAGATCACTCTCAGATGACTCGAACATAGACAGACGATTCGATCGATTCGAACACCCAACGAACAACTCCAACAAGAGCACACGCTCAAATACTTAGCGCACGTAGGAGCTCCCGTCTCTCTCGGCCTTTCGGTCCAGAGTCCGATCGGACCTCTTGCGCCCCCATCTTACTCCCTCTCGTTTGTAACCCCACAGCAAACTTTGAGCACCTAGGCTCAGGAATAAAGTCTTCGACCGACTCAGACTGGACGTAGGGCACGTTGCCTGAACCAGTATAAACCCTGTGTCATTGAGTGCTAGGCCACATCCGATCACAACGTACGGCAAAACTACAAATATTTACGTGTTGGCCACTTTCTGCACCGACAGTTGGCGCCGTCCGTGGGGAAGACGCCGTACGTTCACGACTTTGGTCATCGGATGGCCCACCTTTCCGCCATTTTCACCATGGCGGGCTCAAGCGATACGACTCGCTTCGGCTCACTAGAGTTTCCCGCACCCCCACCTGTTGGAATGTGGGTTCCACCCATCTTCGAGCTGTCCCAGGCCTTCCTCTTCGGAAGCCTGGACTTTGTCGTCGATCGGCTCGGCGTGCTTCACCTCTGCGAGGAGGCACTTGTTCTGGCGCCCGCCGGAAGGGCGCCCTCCATCGGCTCTGGGACACC